AATGCAGTCATTTTTACTGCTTTTGGGCAATATAGGTATATACTAAGTTTCAGTCTTTCTAGTGTTAAATCATAACTACAGATTTGTGGAAATATAAGGGTACTTATTAAAGGATTTGTTGACCACTAGTCTTTCAAGCTAGTGTCCTTAATACATTGCTTTGCACAAAAGTTGTTATATGAATCTCTGTTATCTAAGCATTCTATTATATGAACAGTATATTTCCTACTTTTTGTATCAGCTGTTTATATATTTGCATGTCTAGGATGCAATCTATTTTACCACGTTTTTACTAACTCACTTTCTTGCTTATCTCTTTGGTACAAATTTTGTAATTGATTTTAAATTAACTTCCCAATGAGCTAGAGACTTGGAACCACATAATTTTCAAGGCCACTACTCCTTTCCTCTTCAGCTCATTATCAGCTATATGGAACATTTATTTCATCACTCATACAAATTGTTATGTGACTTAATAGTGTAATAATTTCTTGTTGTGAAATATTACAAGATAATTAAATAAATTTAATTTATTTTATAGGAAAAGAAGCCAGTAGAATGTGGAGGAGCCTACGACACGAGTTTAAAAAGCAATTAGATAAAGAAGAAGCTAAGTCAGAGGATGGTGCCAGTTCTGAATCGTTCGAGTCCACCTGGCCATTTTTCAACAGACTACTGTTCTTAAAAGAGAAAGGGAGACACGTGAAAACTGAATCTGTACCACATGTAATTTGCATTTCAGATGACTCTGAAAATGATGAGCCATTGTCGCAAAATGAAGCAGCATTATCCTCGTCGCTTGACATCACAGTAGCAATTCCTGTTAAGAGGACGAAAATATTAAACGTGGATACAGAACAGGCGAAAGTCAGAAGAGAAAAAGATAAATCTGAAAGTAGAATACCGTTACCGGGTTACTGTGTAGACGACGATGCCATTTGCTTTTTCAACTCGTTGTTACCACACGTGAGGAACCTGCCTCTTCAGAAGCAACTTGAATTCAGGGTGGAAACGCAAAGAATATTGTATGACTTGACATTTCCAACAAATGTAGAAATCGAACAAGAAGACCAGCAACCAACAACATCAAATCAGACTGACACTAATATATATTAATATTATTGATGTATTTAATATCTCTAATTGAAAAGTAAATAAATAATTAAATAAATACGGTAAATACTCATTGATTATCATATAGCCAGTGCTGTTATGTTTAATGTATAAAATAAATGTGTTTGGATTTTCGATTCTGACATTTTAAAGGACACAATAAAAATATATATATAAATATGTAAAATAGTGTTATTATCGTTATAAATTTTAGTTTAATGATATTTAATTTTCTTTTTGGAAATTTTGTACTTGGAACACCGACGTAATAAATGTTTGTAATGTAATAAAAAGATTTCATGTAATTTCTAATAATTGGTCCCTCTGTCTCTTCATTTTTATACACTATTTATATATATATTAGTTTTGAAAATAAAATCGCTTCGTGAATTCACTTTGGGAGTCAGAAATATTATTTCAAGGGCAAGATGGCTAATCAAAAAACAGGCAAAATGAATTTGCATACTATTTGTATATTATTTGTATTTAGATGTCGGCTATAATATGCAACGGAACAAACTATGCAATCCCATTTAAAAAAACCTTTGTGACCTTCAAAAAGAACTGAAAAAGTGACCTTACAAAAAAAATATTACGATGGCAATGTGGGTCCTTCGAAACAATAATAATTCAAAGTATATCTAGAAATTAAAACAAGCAGTAAATATAATATAAACATGTTTTTGACAAGCGCTAGTGGTATGTACATTGTAATTAACTCAAAAACACTATATATGTAGGTGTAGTCTCTTTTGTAGTCCTTTGCACCAGTGACGAGACTTGACACCTTTTCGCGGTATTTTCAGAATAAACGCTTGTAATTCGACTTGTATTGCATAAATGCTAAAAGTATGCAATAAATCCCGCTTGAAAAGACTTGAAGAAGAAATATTTCAATATGAACACTCAAAAAGCGCTGTATTTTGTGATCCACTATTTAGCAAGTCACAAATTTAATGTAAATTGGATTTTATCTGGGCTTACTTTATTAGTATATAGTTTATTGTTTCCCTATGGGATTACAATTCTCTGTACAAGTTCTCTTATACCTATTCGCCCTTATCCTACTATTATTCTATCTTATCTCTATTCGCTATTTACAGTTCGTACGTCTCTCTACTCTCTCTTTATGCTCTTTCCTCTGTATTTCTGTTCTCGCTCTCTTCACCGCATTCCTCCGCACCCTCTCCCTCTCTCCCTTCTACCATTCCTCTCTCCTCTAACTCTCTACGCTCTCCCTCTCGCCTCTCCTGGACCTCCGTTTCCGTTCCTTTCATTCCTTCTCTCCC